GGTGTTCCCCCTCTTATTGCTACATATTGACGACGAAGCGCAACCTCAGCGTGCGTCGTATAATGAAAGCTATATATACACAACAAAGAAGGCAGGGAATGATCATTCCACTTTTCTCTCCTCCTCATCGTCCTCAGCATGGGACAGTAGAAACTTGGCATTGTACTCCTCTCCTTTGGCTTGCTCGATCTCCCCCGAGAGATCAAAGCCCCTGTCATGAATCTCCTCAAGAATTTCCCTCCGGGATCTACATCTCACGTACTCCTTGCTATTGTTGGCACGATCGAGGGTCTTCTGTAACCCAGCTTTAGCAGTGACGGCACTCTTCGAATAAGCCGCCATTTTCTGTCCCGCCCTGGTATTATTCATCACAACCTCGGCCTGGACATTCACCACCTCAATTTTCGCCCTTGAAAGCTCGGATGAGAGTCTCACAATCATCTTCGCCTGAGTAGAACCATTCGCATGTGCAGCCTGAATATGCGCCTCAAGAACGGAAGCCCCGACCTGAGCCCTCTCTTTGGCCTTAGAATATGCATTTACATGCGCCTATAGCTCGATGAATTCACGTTTGGATTTGCCAACCTTGCCCCAGAATTGTTCCAGCTCATCCGCCTTATCCTTCAACTGAAACAGCAACACGTCAAGATAGCGAGACAAAAAGGGAATACAGGCCAGTGCGAGATGCAGGATACATGTTTCTCTAAGAGGGCCTCCCAGGCCCGACTCCGGTCACCTCATGCCGTAAAGAGATGAGCTCATTTTCCTTCGCCATACAAACAAGTTTGAGGGATTTCTCCCTATCTCGAGCATCCCGCAACGGGGCGTCGCAATGAAGCAGTTTGGCTTTGAGCCTGTCAAAAGCCTGAGAAAGAAAGCCAGGTAAACAAAAAGAAAAGAGAGGAGCGCAGGGCCAGAACAACCTTACAGCGGCCAAAACTCACCATAAGGCCAAAGTGCTGAGCCTCGTCGAAGGCCGAAGCAACATCCGACGATGCACCAATCCCGGAAGATTGCCGGTCGACCGACTCGCTTCCCATTAACCGCTGCGAAGAAGGCACCTCACCACAGGCCTTCTCGTACCCCGGGGCATCTTTCCTTTTTCCGGTATTCCTTGACCTGGGGGCCAACAATCTATCCTCCTCCCTCAGGGGATTCGACCTTGCTTCGAAAAGACTCCCGGCACCTGCAACAGATAAATCAAATGAGCCATCAAGAAGGAAGCCACCCCTTAGAGGGGGCAAGATGCCAGACACCCACTGTGATGTTTCGCCTCCCATCTCCCTTTTGATAGATCTCGCCTCCGGCGCCTATCGTAGGCCGAGAAAGCTGCTAGCTTACAAGACCATTCAGCTAAATCAGGGATCTCGCCGGGCAACCAATGAGTTGCTATAAACAAAGAACAGAAAGATATCGTTACGGGGCCAACCCCATGCTGAGTTAAAAGACAGTTCAAACGAAGCACTTACGTGTGAGGTTCCATCTCTCAGGGAACGACGAAAATTCTCTAGGGATAACATCGTTCGTCCGGATTCGAACAAACCAATTCATCCATCCGCGGTCCTCATCCTCCTCGCTGTCGATCACAGGAGCTCGGGTGGATCTACGCTAAAGAGCAATCAGGCCCCGATAGCGCAATGGTTGATACAACCTCACAAGGTGGCTGAGGGTGAATTCTATCCTGGCCCTGTCAGCAAAATATCTCATCGACTGCACTATTGTCCAAAGAAAGGGATGAACCTGCACCAATGTTACTTGATATCTCCTACAGAAATCAAGCATGACCCGGTCCGGGGAACCTAGCACAAGAACGTGAATATACACACTCAAGAACCCCTCAACGTATGTCATGATACTCTCCTCGAGGGAAGGTGCTCGCAAAATCACGCCTTCCCCCTATCTGCATTTTTTTCTGATCATCTTGAGGTTTTCCTCCCTCACCGATGAAATAATCCTTAACACATGCTCTCAATGGCCTGGAACATTGGGAGGTCTCCCCAGTGTGACCGCCTTCTTTGAGGCAGGGCGACCCGAATCTCGCTCTCCCGATATCGGGGGTGAGCCGATGGTACCAACCAAATGCGGAGCACAGTAGGGACTCCTCTCCATCTGTGGATCAGCCGTCAAAGCGGTGGACATGATTACGGAAGAATAAGGCGAAGAAGATGAGGATCCAAGGAAAAACTTTTTGAAGCAGGAGAGAGGAAGGACTCACACAAAGTGTCAGGCTCTGCAGAGGATATAGGATTATCAAATATTGCAAAATCGCTGCTTGAAAGGCGGATGAGCAAATATATAGCGGCTAAGCGACAGCTGCTCATTTGCCCCAGAAGGCCAATTAATTCTAGCCGCGTTAACGTCACCTTCTCCTTGGGGAGTGCATTGGAAGAATCATTCCAGGCTCCCACATAACTCATAAAATCGAAGGACCTCGGGAGATCTCTAATGTCATAAATATCAGTTCGGAAGGAACTATCGATCCTACCTCGGGACGTGGCTAGTCTCGGGCCCTCGGTCTGCCCCACGAAAAGGCCGCGAAGGGACGGTGCCGGAACACAAAGACAAAGAAGCAAGGAGAAGAGCTGACAGGATAAAAGATCATTTTATACATTAGCAAAGAGAAAAAACGTCTTTACACTATTTGTTTCCTGCGGGAAGGGGGGAACACATGAAGCAAAAAGAAAGGCATACAAAAAAGGCTTCGAGACTACTCCTTGCCACTATCATCTTCACCCTTATCAGGGGTAATCAAGAGCGTCAGTCTTCCCTCCACTGCACGAGCCTCCTCCAGATCGGCAGACAACTCGAAGCCTCTGGCCTCGAGTTCTTCCAGGGTCTCCCTCTTCACCTCCGCTTTAGCGTACTCGACAGCTCGAATTAGTCTTTGCTCAGCTGCCATGGACATGTCGCGAACCATTATATATGCCATAGTCGCATCCTCCTTATAAGTGGCAGCATCTCGTTCGACCTCAGACTTAGCTGCGACCAAAGTAACAATCTCCCTGCGATTGTCTGTGAGAAGATCCTGGGATGTCTCCAATTCCCCGGCCACAATCTTGTTTCGCTCTTTCAACCCGGAGATCTCTACTTCCAACTGACTAATCCGCGAGCTACTCTGCTCGACCTACGAAGAAGGACAAGTCGATGAATATATAAATCCGGAACATGTGTGAATACGGGGTAAAGGGCGGGTATGAGCAAGGCAGAGTACCTAAGCAGTAAGAGTGACCTTCTCCTGGAGCGCCGCCTCCAAAGCGGTCCGGAGCTCCCCCAACTCTTTATATCCCTAGGCACCACGAGCCTCCGAGTCCTGTAGCTTTGAAGCAATGTTATTACGCTACTTCTCGTGGCAAAAACGTTCCCCGCGGAGCCGAAGAATGGCATGGTCATACATCTCTTTACACTGCGGCATAATGTGAAAGTTAAGAAAGACGACGAATAAAGCTCGAGAACGAAAAGAAACACGCAAGGAAAAACTATCACATATTGCATGGACTTCTCTGCCTCTTTAACGGCACCAGGAATATCGAGATCGACCCTGTCAATTACATCATCAAAAATGTTGGCAATAAAATCTCCCCCTTTGGGAGGAGTCCTGGCTGTGATGCCGACCATCCTTTCGGCATCCCTCAGCTCCCCTGATGAAACCGGAAAGCTCGAAATGAGGTCGTTCGGTTCGCTGATTTCTCCAAATAGCAACCCACGCTCCTGGAAGGCCCCGAGCTCCAGTCCCCCAGGATCAATGCCAATGGTCCTCCTAGCAGAAGCTACACCGAATCCGACCATACCATTCGAAGCTACATCAGCGTCCTCTTCAAGGACCCTCTGCTCACCAGCCCCGCCGGAGCCAGCCGTTCCGGATTCAGCAGCCTCCGATCGTGGCACCTGCAAATATCTCACACTAGACCTTGTTCTCCTCCGTAGTGGACTTCCATCATCGTCCTCCCCCTCGATATCAGGATTTGACACGGAGGTTAGAACAGCAGCCCTATCAGGTCGGGCAATGGCTGCCCTGCTCTTCCTATTCTTGTTCATATCAGGCTCCAAGGCCTCTGCTTCATCGTTAGGGGCGACCTCATTTGCATATTCTCTCCAAGACCTGCACTAGCATAATAACTGCGATACATTTTCACTAAGGGCTTGGAAGGAAACATAAAATGCAAAGCACAGGCGGTAAAAGAACCTCACTATGATTCTTGGTCACCCAATATTCCTTAGCCAAGACGGTCCAAGACCGAACGCGGTACGGGAACTTCTCGTCTAAATGGCTGATCCATCCCAACAAATCTGGGACCACCTCTGGATGCCAAGCAGTGGCTGCAGAAAGCAACAAAAGGTTATTATGATGAATGAAAGAGTAGTCGAGAAGCAGTTAAAGGGAAATTCGCTTACGTCGAGCATTCCACTGCTCCGGAAAGGGCACCCTCTAGGCCGGGATGACGTCTGAGGTCCTCACTCGGATAAACCTACTCATCCATCCTCGGTCCTTCCCCTCATCAACGCTCGGGAAAAAAGACTTTTTGGACAGGTGGCGGAGCTTTATTAAGCCTCAATACAGCCGAGGGCGGTATAGTTTGATCAAATGGATAAGGGTAAAAACCTCACCTTTAACCCTTTCGATGAAACACCTAAGCATTAACACTATCCTCCAAAGGGACGGGTAGATCTGACCGAGCGTCACCTGATATCGGGCGCAGAAGTCAAGAATAACCGGGCCGATTTCCAAGGGAGGAGATTCAACGGATTTACCAGGGCCCACGGTGAATGGATAAGTGTATATGTAAAGGAAGCTAGCATTGAAGTCGGTAATGTTATCGTTGGGGATGGGAATCTCTACCTCCATTGCCTTGCTCCATCGGTAGTCCTCCCTAACTTTGCTAACATCGGTCACGACGCTAACATATCGAGACACGTGCTCACACCGACCCGGTGTAGACAAGGGAGTCTCGATGTCGAAATCCTTCCAAGTGTCAATATCAGGTAGAGTCCATTGCTCTAAAATGGGAACTGATCTTCTTTCTCCCTCGGGTAATCGGGACGACGATGCAGTATCGTTCTATCGGGGGACCGTCCTAGAAGTCCTAGCCATGAAAAATGGTAAAAACCCTTCTGTGAAAAGAGGAAAGTATGTCAAATAGCAAAATCCTGATTTGCGGGCTTGTAAGTAGGGTGAAGATGGGAAGTGTCTAGCAACCAGTGTATTTATAGGAATCGCTGGGGAAGCAGAAGAGACGACCCTACGGCAGTTCGTGGGTTTCTCTATTACCGCATCCGACGGTGGCCCTACACGATTCTCTGGGGCATGGCATTTAATGCTCTTAGACAGTTGACGTCATGGAAATAATGACCTCAAGACGATGATTCAATATCATTTCCTATTACTTCGTTCTAGAAAATGCGGAGACTATCTATATACGGTGAAATCAGAGGGATCTATTTCCCGCCATTAAGGTATATTCGGAAAGTCATGTCAGCATATCGAGGCTATGGGATCACGATCGAGATCCCTCCCTCGAGGATCGTCCGTGACCCTGCAGAGACTCCGAGGATAAGGGATCTGTCCGTGACCCAACGAAGGTTACGAAGACGGGGGACTCCCGAAGCAAGCGGCTAGAGCCAATAGGCACTAGTACCATGCCTAGCCGTCCCATCCCCATGTCTTTACATTCAATACACTTTGTACTATATGGTATTCCCTCTCCTATATAAGGGGAATCCATTCCACTTTGTAAGGGGTTGATGCTGCTCCATTTTCTCCACAAGTGCAATAATATCTCTCTCTCTCTCTCTTTCCTTTTTAAACTTGTTCGTTCTCATTGGCCTGAGTTCACCTTGATATTCATCGCTTTCTTACTTGTTCTTCATCATATAACTTAGTATCGGCCATAAAGAGCCTTGTTTAATAATATCCTCAACTGTTATCCCATCCCCGACTACCCCCGAAGTTCGAGCTCGACCCCGAGGTCCCCTATCAACCCGGCCTGTACCCGGGCAGAAGGCCCTTCAGTTCCATTACTACCTTGTTTGAACTCGCATTTAATCTTTAAACTTCATATTATTAGCATCAACTGCTCTAAAAACTAGCTCGGGAATAGATCACGTATTTTTAGAATCCCATTTACAAATTTAATTGTTGTTACCATTTTCACGGTAAACAATATAGTTATTTAGAAATCATGTCTATAAGATTGCACCTTGCATCTGAAACTGCCTGCACAAGATCACATAGAAACCATGTCTATAGGGCTTAATGGCATTAATTCTGAAGCTGTCTAACGCCTAATATTAAAATTTGTTCGTGTGCATTTGTGGTCTAAGTGTGGAGGCTAATTTGAGCCCTTAATTGCCCTTTATATAAAGTCCAATTTGTTTTGTATGTCGCTTAGATTTATCATTTCTGAGCATCCTAAGTTAAGTCTAAAACTATCCAAAATAGAGGTCCAAACGCCTCCTGGCCATAGGTATGAGACGGGTAGTGCATGCATAGGGCACCATTTATAATCAACTAGTGCGCTTCAGGTAAAAACATAAAAATAGTAATCGGGTAGCAGGAGATGATAGTCTGTGCCCGCTGAATAATACGAGTAACACCCCATCTCGAGGAAGTTACGAAGTATTATTTATGTTGCACGGGGTGATCCTTTAGGCTACAAAACGTAGGAAATCCCATCTTGTCTTTAAATCAATTATTGGTGTTTATTCAAGTACTTTTGATAATAACTGCCCAAACTTCTTGTCTTTCTCTCTATTTATTTGACTTTCATATATTTGAGTTCGGTTGGTACCCACAGTTGTGGACCTCGAAGAGTGCCTAACACCTTCTCTTCGAGGTAATTTGAGCCCTTACCCGATATTTGGTGATGCAAACTGGTTAAACCAGATTTATTTACAAATAGGTGCCCAAACGCACCTCAAACCCGTTAGATGGAGACTCTCTCTTTTAACACCTTTCTTAAAAGAGTTGTCACGTGTCAAAATCCGATTTCGCGAGAAAAAAAGGCACAACACCAGTGATGGTGTTTTGACTAGAGAAAAATAGGGTGCAACAAGTCCACCAATCATAGTGGCTCCTAACTAGAATGAGCCATGTGAGCTGATGTGTGATGCCACTGATGGTGCAATTAGGGGCGTATTTGGCAGAGGAGGAGCAAAATACTTCACTCCATTTACTACGCAAGAAAAACTCTCACTCCTGTTTAAATATATTATACTGTGACAAAAAAGGAATTGCTTGTTGTAGTGTGGGCATCCGATAAATTTAGGGATTATTTGGTTGGCACCAAAGTCATTGTCTACATAGACCATGTAACCATCAAGTATTTGTTCGAAAAGGAAGATGTTAAGCCAAGGCTAATCCACTGGGTTTTACTGTCTTTGGAATTTGAATTGGAGATCTGAGATCATAAAGGAACAGAGAATCAAGTGGCCGATCACTTGTCTAGGTTAGAAACTCGTAATCATGCAGCTGAGGGAGATGTCATCAAGGACACCTTCCCGGATGAGCAATTGTTGGCCGTTACTACTAGGGAGGTGTCATGGTATGCAGATTTTATGAACTATCTGGCAAGTGAAGAAATGCCACCTGACCTTGATCCTCATACTAAAAAGAAGTTCTTGCGAGATGTGAGATCATATGTGTGGTATGAGCCGTTTCTATTCAAATCTTGTGCTGATCAGTTAATGAGAAGATGTGTACCCGAATCTGAAATAAATGTTATTTTACATGACTGTCGTGTGTCCCCTTATGATGGTAATCATGCGGGTAACAAAACGGCATCCAAGGTGTTGTAGTCGGGTTTCTATTGTCCTAGGTTGTTTAAAGTTGCCCATGAGTTCGTGAGGAGGTGTGATAGGTGCTAGAGAACGAGAACAATTCCAAAATGGCATGAGATGCCATTACATGGTATTATAGAGATTGAAATTTTTTATATGTGGGAATTGATTTTTTGGGTCCATTTCCCTCGTCCAATGGGTGCAATTACATGTTTGTAGCCGTTGACTATGTGTTGAAGTGGGTGGAGACCATTGTTCTTCCTACCAATGATGTCAAGGTTGTGGTTAACTTTGTGAAAAAGCATATCTTTACATGGTTCGGCACTCTGAGAGTAATGATAAGTGATGGGGGTACCCATTTCTATAACAAGCTGTTGGATAATCTTTTAGCGAAATATGGGGTCAAACACAAGGTTGCGACCGCCTATCATCCTCAGACTAGTGAATAGGCTGAGGTGTCAAATAGAGAGATAAAATAGATTCTTGAGAATATGGTTAGTGCAAGTAGGAAAGATTGGGCTGCAAAGCTTGATGATGCTCTATGCACATACCAGAACACCTACAAAACTCCAATCGAAGCCTCCCCTTACAAGCTGGTTTATGGGAAGGTATGCCATTTACCGGTGGAATTTGAGCACAAGGCCTATTGGGCAATAAAGAAGTTAAACTTTGATGCAGAATTAGCGGGTGAAAAATGGTTGATGAAATTGAACGAGCTTGATGAGTTTTGCTTGCATGCGTATGAGAATACCAAGTTATATAAAGAAAAGACCAAGCGCTGGCATGATAAGAATATCCACAATCGTGAGTTCAAACCGGGCCAATTGGTGCTCTTGTTCAATTCGAGGTTGAGACTCTTTATGGGGAAGCTCAAATCGAGATGGTCGGGCCTGTTTGAGGTAGTAAGAGTCACTTCACATGGTGCAATTGAGTTGCACGTTGTAGGTGGCGAGAGAACGTTCATAGTGAATGAACAAAGAGTAAAACACTATTATGGAGGTGACTTTAATCGTCATAAGTCGAAGGTGCTACTTGCCAACGATTAGGTGAGATTTTGTGTCGTACCGCGACGTTAAATCAGGCGCTTATTGGGAGGCAACCCAGCTTTACTGCTTTTTTTATTTTTTATTTTTATTATATTAGTTGTATAGTGTTTGTTTTTATTTTGTAGGATTACAAACATAGAAAACAAAGCTATTGGAAGAGTGCAAAAGCGAGATGGATGGTGAGAACTAAGTGTGGGGTGCTTATACAAAGGACCATGCTTGGAGGAAATTTGAGTACCTCGTGATCCGTATTGCTTCGGCCTTTGGCCTTTCAGGAAGTTTCTTGTCCACCCTTATTATTTTTTTACTTTGTTTGTGCATTGGGGACACTGTACCCTTTTAAGTATGGGGTGAGGGACTGTCAGAGTATAATGGTATAGTTGTAGTTGCATTAACATTAACTTCTTGTCTTTAATTTTTAGCTTCTTATTTTTATTTCCTAGTTAGTAGAATTAGTAGTGTAGTATCTTAGTAGTAGTTTTAGTAGCTTTTATTGAGGAAAAAAATTCCAAAAAAAAAAATCAAAAAAACTATGGACTTTTTCCAACGATGGGTCTCTTGGACAGCTTTCTTGAGGGATTACAGTCCTATGAAAAATCCAAAAATATTTTCTTTCTTTTAGTTCGTCGTTGGTAGGTAACAATCCCCCTTAGTTTTTCTTTGGTTATCGATTTTTTTCAAGGGATGTATCTTGAACCGAGTATTTTTATTTTTGTTTAGAAAATAAAAGGAAGAAAACTTGATTGATCCTATATGTCTTTTGACTTGTTTGATGCTACCATAGTTAGGCCGCATAATGCAGATTACCTCTATGTTTTGATGAAAATTGATGCCATAGATAAATTGAACAACTTGTTTATGACGCCTTCTCTCAGTTTCTTGACTCGTTGTTTATGTAGTGCTTTATTGCTTAATGTTTCTTGAATTTATGATTACTTGCTTTGACTTGAGTGTTGGAATGGTACCGTCCTAAATGGGTCATATGTATTGTGTGATGTGAGGCATTAATTGTATTTTGTGTTATCTTGTGTTAGTCTAGAACTTTCCCCTTGTATTAGATAAAGCGAAATCATTAAGTCGCGTAAGTCTAGGAGATGATGTAGGAGTTTCTTTGATCGCTCATTGAGCTATTATGCCATTTCAAAGAAAATTATCCTTAGATATTCCAGTTGAGCCTATAAACATTATCTTTGGAACCCACATTACAAGCCGAATCCCACTTTGTTCTTAGTTGAAACCTTGTTGAACCTATGCCTCCGAAAGCACTTAAGTCACTGAAGAATAAGGTGGGAGTTGAGTTAGATTTTAAGTGGAATCATAGAAAGACCAAAGGGTACACATATGTTTTGAGATCATTAGCTGGACACACTAAAATTTATGGAGAGTGTTGGAAAAAAAAAGCAGAAAAGAAAAGCAAAGAAAGTACAAAAAGAGAAAAAAATAAAAAAATAGAAAATATATCTCCCATACATCTTGATCCGAGCTAGTAAATGTATAGATGTGTTTAAAGAGAAAGGGCTAAATTGTGTATGGTTCATAACATGGCTTGAGTTGGTCATGAAGAGTGTGCACTTTAAAGTTAAAATGTAGTGCATTAAAGTGCGTACGAGGGTGGGTCACTATACCAAAATATATCTTTTCCGTCCTTCAGCTTGCATTACAACCTGCAAAGACCTAATTGATCTTAGACTTGGCAAGCTTAAATTAGTAGAAATATACACTACAGACAAGTCTATGGTACGACTGCAGGATGCACACAAATTTCTTCGTGAAAGTGAGTGGTTCTTTGTTCGTGTATGTGATGTCCTTAAAATATATTCGAATGCACATTTGAATTTGTTGATGAAATACTCTCTTATTCTTTGGTGAGGCACATGATTCTATAACTGATAGGAGACGTTATTAACATCTCTTATTGGGTGAATGCACGAGTTGAGAGTGCTTGTTGGCGACGAGTCAGTCTTTGAGGTTGGGTGGTTATGGGTAGGTTATTTGAGTGTGTTAAATTGTTTACCACTATTCAGGCATGAGAAAGTTAGGGAAGTATGAATGTGTATGCAACGGTTAAATTATTGGTATCAACCATGATCATATGTGTAGTGTGTTGAATTGCTAAATGTTCCTCCGTTGTATGATGTCTTGCATTGCATTGTTTAATTAGCAAGGTTTTAGGTTGCTCAAGGACGAGCAAGAGCTTAAGTGTGGGGTGGTATAATGTTTGGCTAAAAATCCATATTTTTGCATGTAATTTGCCTTTCATTATGCCTCGATCTTATTAACTTTAGTGTGAATATGTGTGACTCGAGCTAAATAATGGTATTTATATGTGTAGGCATCAACTGTAAGTGATTTGGAAAGTTTACATGCAAAGTAAAATAAAAAAGGAAGAATATGGAGAAAGTATAAGTTTGGTGCCCAGGTCCCGGATGGCGAAGTGAGGTTCACTTTTTCAGACGGGGACCGGAGCAGAAGAAACCAAAAAAGTCCCGGACAGTAAAGCGAGGTTCACTTCGCTAGATCGGAACCAAAGTAGAAAAAATCAGCTTCTCCAATCCGAATTAGGAGAAGCCCAATTCGCCCCATACAAACCCTAGCCAGTAGAAATACATTAAAAACGTGATCTTAAGGGGAAAACACTATTTTGAAAGGAGAGAAGACTTTGGTGACATTATTTGGAAGCAAGAACATCACATAAAATAACTTTTGGAGGAGAAAATCATCGAGTTCTTCATTCCTTCATCATTTCTTTGTAATTTGTTTATGCAAAATACTTGAAAAATTGTTACTACGAACATAAGTGGCTACGAACTCTAGTTTCTAGGGTTGTGGTTGGTCTGATTATTGACGTTTATTAATTACATCTTCGTTAATCCAGATTATCATATTGTGGTTGTTTCTTTAATTCTAGTTTTTAACTTGTGAATTGTTGTAGCTACCAATTTACCCTTCTATCTATGCTATGCTTGGAAAAGCGCGTTTAGATTAGAGTAGAATTAAAGAGAGCTTATTTTTAAACCCGTGGCTCGGGAAATAATTTTGCGGTTAGGATAGGAATATACCTAACAGTCTTACTTAGTTGAATACTGTATTATATTCATTCATGATAGACTCAACACTATAGAAATATAGGAATGATATATCATGGATAGGCAAGTAGTGCTGTGGGAACATGCTATTCATATAAACGATCTGGTCAACTAGCAACCATTGATAATCTAGATTAACAAGTGTGATTATTAAACTTAAAAGGATTAATAAATCAACCACAACTCTGCAATCTTCATCTCCTCTGAGTAAAATCCAAAAACACTCATTAGCATCATTAATAAATTAGCTCATTACTTGTTCAATTTATAAAAAAGTAGTTTAGTAGAAAAATAACATTTTTGATTATCTTGGACATTTAATTGATTTTAGTTAGCTTAGTTAACGATTAATCTAAGACTCTGTGGGTTCGACATCCGACTTTTAAGTCATTTTATTAGTTGACGGCCACGTATACTTGCGTGTACTAGGGGAACCAACACTTTACTTTTAGGAGTTAACTGTAGTTGATAGCATCCCAATTAAGTGTTAATTTTCCTGGATAGAAATTAACTAGAGATTATCCGAACACTGTTTAAATCGAATTCTTTTGGAGACGATAATTAAATTATACTATCTTTGACTAGCGAGTATTAATTTCTTGCTATATTTTGTGCTCCTCAGCATCATTTCTTGTACTTTGCATGAAAGAGATAAAGAGAAAAAGAAGAATATCATATGCCATTCACCTTAAGTCCTTCGGTTACTTCGAATTACCTCATATCATATTTAAAGCCACCGTTTTGAAGGAAAAAAAAGGGTTTCAACTACCAATGTTATATCATACTCCAAACTGCAAACAGGTAGGCGTGCAACACAATTAATCCATCTACTAAAAAGAGATCCACATTTGTAAATGTTATTTGAGACTTGAATTATTTCCTTGTATTTTTAGGAAACCCATATTCCCTGTAGGTTTAGGAAAACCCATTGTCCTAATAGAATTGGGAAAGGAAAACCTATAGTCCTTGGCAAATTGGGAAACCTTTCTCATATATGTTTGGGACCTTTTGGGATCTATATATAGGGGTTGTAGGGGATTCTATAGATTGTATTGTGCTTTTCTTCTCATTCATAGTGGAAAACTCTCTCTGCTCTTGCCCCGAGGATTAGGCTTGGCCGAACCTCGTTAAATCCTTGTGTTGATTTTTCTTCTCTATTTGCTTTGTGTATGATTGTGTGCTAGTTAACCCACGATATTCCACAACAATTGGTATCAGAGCAAGTTTCGGGTTTCTACACATAATTTAGGGTTAAGATGTCTTCATCATCTTCAACAAAGTACGAAGTAGAGAAATTTGACGGAGGTTCTAGTTTCCGTCTATGGAAGATTAGGATGAAATCGTCCCTGGTGTTACAAGGATTATGGAAAGCAATTGATGAGGATTTTCCTGAAGATATGAAAGAGTCACAGAAGGAAGACCTGAAGGACAGGGCTTTGAGTGCGATCTTCATGAGCGTTACAGATAGCGTTCTTCGGGAAATTGCTGAAGAAACTTCTGCAGCAACGGCATGGAAGAAGCTGGAAGATCTGTATTCTAAGAAATCGCTGACAAACCACCTCTACCTGAAAAAGAGGTTATACAATCTCCGTATGAATGAAGGTACACCTGTTAAAACTCACCTTGATGAGTTTAATTCAATTATAATGGACCTGAAGAATGTGGATATCAAAATTGAGAGTGAGGATCAAGCCTTAATTGTGTTATGTTCTTTACCACAGTCTTATGATACTTTTGTCGATATACTGCTATATGGGAAAGATAGCATTTCACTAGAAGATGTTAGTAATGCACTAAAATCTAAAGAGTTGAAAAAGAGGTTTCCAGACAACAGAATTGAGGACGAGGGTCTTGTGATTAGAGGAAGAACATAACAAAAGGACTTTAACAGGAAAAAGTCAACCGCAAGATCAA